ACTTGGCGGAGAAGGCGAAGCGTTACCCGGAACTTCAAGTGGCTCGGCGGAGGAGGCGCAGCTTTCCTGGAACATTACGATGGCTCGGCGAAGGAGGCCAAATTTTTGCTGGAACTGCGGGTGGCTCACTGCTGTCTACGTGGAAGGTGGCACTGGGAGGGAGGACAGTTCGCCGGAACTGCACTCGTTCTTGTGGAAGAATCGTTCCCGAACGAGGACCATGCTTCTGGCAAAACAGCCCCTCCCCCCTCGCCGGACAACGCATCTGGAGTGTTTAGCCATCTAGCGCGGCTCCGAAGGAGCGATCCTGGTTGGCCGTTGAGAACTGTAGCCGTTCTGCTCTCTCTGACCGAGAAGACTTTCACAGACATGCGAAGGTTCACTGGAATGGCGTAGTCGAGCACAAAGCCAAACCACTCTCTCCCACGCAAGCACCCTCCAAAAATTGTCATATCGCCAGACCAGCAAAAAAGATATTTCCTCGAGAATAAGCTCAGCGAAAAAAAGCATCACGAGCAACGTATCTCAGGAGGAATACACGATGCGGACACACCTTTAGCTAAGTGTCAGTGCATGATACTTCTAAACCACACAGATTTTTTTTCCGAGCGATTCTCAATTGTGACTTAGGCAGATTGTGAACAATCGAAGCAGCTGAGTGCCGCTGTCTGTCTCCTTCTTTCTCTTGTCCCTCGTTATTGGCGCTGTTTTTTATGTGAGTTTGTTCAGTTCGGCCCGAGACTATAATTTAGAATACAAAGCACTTCTCAATCACGCACATTGGCGTCACTTGCAAGCGTCAGACCGTTAAACAATAGAAAGTCTTTCGATAAGCTCTCGCTCAAGGCGCTCCGCCAATGAGCATCTCAACAAGACAAAACACGCTTGAAAAAGTAAGAAAATAACAAGGAAAATCAAACTTGCGCGCGTTACACAAAACAAAGGTAAAAGTTGTCCAACACTGACCGCGCATTCTGACAAGTAATGCCAAATACATAAGGTATTTTAAGAGGCTTTTACTCAGTCTTCTCTGTTAATGTAAAGCTCTCGAAATATTAGCAAAACAAAAGTAATGAAACAAACATATCAATGTTCGCTTCTCTAATGACAAGGAAAGTAAAACTTACAAAACTTACAAAACACATTTCCTGCTCATCGGTGGGTGACAAGAGTAGAAAAACTTATTCTCAAAACTGAACACAAATTACACTCTTGGCAGTGGCAAGGCGGTACTCTTTCAGAACAACTCTGGGAAGTCGGGCACTCTACAGCTTTCGAGGGTTGTGGTCCGGACAAAGGGACGACGAACGAACCTGTTCGCCGAACTCTGTAGCGACGACTCTTGACTCACAGCCGATGACTTCGAAGGAAGAGGCATCTGCACTGCATCGTTTACCCCGCCCATTCAAGCCGTGACCCTTTTGCCACGGTGGGCAACAACAGCCTGTGTTACGGCTGAGGCGTAAGCGATGCTTCTCTTTGTGGTTACCTGTACGCGGCAACGAAAAGGATGAGACCAGGCGGCAATCTCGGCGTGTGAATTTACCTGAAATTCAGTTTTTCTCAATCTGCTTCCCGCCTAATCTCAATCTCAGTGACGCTCTGAGCTTTGAACATTTCCTAGAGGACTCTTTCGCGATTATACGCCTAGGCATGAACCTGGCGTCTTGACTGATGGCATCACGGCACGTAGCAGCGGCTTTAGCGCGCTGGGCGCCTCTCGTCTTTTTCGCGTTATGGTCACGCCAACGCCTTTTTCTCTTGGAATGGCTAGGAATGCTGGAAGCTTCGACACACTCATAAGTGCGCTGCTTTCGACAGGCTCTTCAAAAACTCCATGCTTTGTCCCGACCTCAGCCATGACAGATGAGTATGGCATCTTGAGAGCCATGGTATTTAGCCACTTTCGCGCGCTTGGCGTTGTTCGACTTCACCTTATGTTTTCGCCGGCGACTCTTCTCAGCGGAATAAACAGCCGTGCTCAGAGCACTGGCATTCATACTCGTATAGTACGCGGCCCTCACTTTTTTTTAATCAAAGCTCCAGATTGCTTACCTATTTTTCCCCAGCTGTTTCTGTCTATGGCAGAGCGGTAGTCCCAATGCCTTTAAAGCTAACCATCTCACCTGAAAGTTTCTCTCCAGTCTGCAAGAGTTTCTCACGGTCCTAAATAACCCTTGTTCTCAGGACTTCTTAGCCAGCCTCATGCTCACTATGATGTGCTTCAACGTCTTGCGCTTCTCGCCTCTCATTTTTCTCTAGCGCTTTTCGGCGAGCCTCATCTTGAAGCGCTACGCTAGGGGCCTCCATCGCATTAAGGCGCGCGTCGTCTTCCGGTGCTCTACGACGCACTTTATTATCTCACTCTTTTCGCCGGGTCTACCTCTAGCGCCTTACGACGCGCTTTAGCGCTGTCTCTTTCACTCCGACTTTCCCAGTCAGCATGACTTGAAAGAAAAAAATCTTATCAAAGCATATCTAGCATTAATAAAGTCTCCTGCTTCTTTGGTGGATAAGCAAATCAAAATATGCGCGATCTTGCATTGCAACAAGATGACCAGTCTCTCCACCCAAAGGTCGCGACTAACTCCAACATTGCTGCAGACAACTTCAAAATTATAAAAAAAAATGCGCAATGTTTTTGCCTATCTGAAAGTTGCGGAACCGGCCTTTTGCTTGCTGCCCCTTAGCCGCTTGAATTTCACGATCAAGCTCTCTTATTTTGACTGCTCTCCTTTTGTGACTCTCTTCGGCCTCCCATTGTTCGTGTCTTTGAGCTTCGAGCTCTTCACGACGTTTCTCGGCATTTAGGTCTTCGCGACTTTTCTCGGCTACGCTGTTCGCGATTTTTAGCCTCTCGCTCTTCACGACGCTTCTCGTCCTCTGGTTTTTCGGCCTTCTGCTTTTGCTCACAAATGAGCTCCCAAAACTAGTCAGCTTGCTCGGCCGTCACATTCTCTTGCCGCATCACCTCGAGAATCGCTTCCCATGTTTTAGCCGACCCTGCGGAAATCCGCATGGCTCCACAAATTTCAAGAAGGTCCTGCCCAAGATACTCCTCCATAACGATCTCATCCATCATGATGCTTTACTACTGATATTCACCGTACTCTAAAACTAATCTCATGTTTTAGAGCACGTGAATGTTAAATTATAACAAACAAAACACAGAACACTGTCCTAACAGCTACCTGTGCACGAGAGGTCTGGCGAAATGAACAGTAAACGTTGGCCACTCACCAAAACAAAGTAGCCGATGATAGTCCAACTCATGGCTGCCGTCGAACAGTGTCGTGGGTGTCCTCAGGCCTGCAGGAACCCGCTCCAAGACCGAGCCGTTGGGGTCGTTGTGGCGGATTTCACAGCAGTGAAACGTTGATGGCAGGGATGGCGTATCCAGCGTATCCAAACGCTGATATCAGTGTCGTCATCCTCAGTCTTCCAAGGATCCGATCTAACGTTTCAGCCGTTCAGATTGGGGTAGCGGGTGCCAGAGCAGCAAAACGTTGAGGACAGGGCTAGCGTAGGCCGAAGCTGCCAACCCCTGTTAGGAATTCAGGTTTGATGGCATGCCACAGCTGTCAGCACTGTTCGGAATTCGGGTTTGATAGCATCCTACCATCGCCACCTCTGTTAAGAATTCCGGTTTGATGACATCTCACCGCTGCCATCACTGTTATGAGTCCAGGGTGTTTCGATAATAGTGGTAGCCAAGAGCGGGGAGCAGCCGAATGGCCGTTGCTGAAGCCTTCGCCCACGAGCGAAATAGGCAAGGAATCGTTTTGTAAACAGCAACGTTTACTACAGCAGGTTATAAATTGTACAGAGCCAGCCAGCACGACGGCGTCGGCTGGAGCAAAATCCTCTGAAAATGGGGCCGGCACGGCCTTAAATTGTGTGTTTGGTCTCTTCTCCGAGACCTGTTTCTCGGTGCTTGGCGGAGGAGGCAAAGCCTTTGCCGGAACTGCACGTGGCTCGCCGCCGTCTTCGTGGAAGGTGGCGCTGGGAGAAGGGAGAGTTCACCGGTACTGCACTCGATCTCGTGGGAAGAAGCGCTCCCGAACGAAGACCATGCCTCTGGAATAACACTATCTATCTATCTATCTATCTATCTATCTATCTATCTATCTATCTATCTATCTATCTATCTATCTATCTATCTATCTATCTATCTATCTTTGTCTGTCGTTGATTTACGCAGCACTGTCCCAGGCTACAATGCTCACGAGCACGAGCGCTACATATCAGCGTGCCGCATCTGATGTTGCTAACACTCATGCGGCGGTTGGCATCGTTACGCAAGTGTAAACAACTGGTCATGTAAGAGGCATGCCACTGTTAAACACATATGTCTATGCGTACAAAATTTGTATGCTGGGAATGTTTATGAAAGGGAAAATGCGAGCTCGTGGCCTGCGTGCTCTAGTGCCTGCTTGCAGCATGTTGAAGTGGGAGCGAGAGCAACCACAGCCTCTTTATGCGTGATCTTATGGCTAAAAACAACCAGTCATTGGTGATATGGAACTGGCAGCAAGATTGCATTCCCCTCCTCCTTGAAGGCCATTACACAAGAGACTGGCTGCCCTCCTGAGTTATCTTTGAAAGGGCAGGGGGTTGCAATGTGGTCAGCGGTTTCATATCACCATGACGGGTCATAACTGGTCGTTTTTCTAACCACAAGATAACGCGGGAAGAGGCTGTGGTTGCCCTCGCTCCCGCTTCAACGCGCTGGAAGCAGCCGCCGGAGCACGCAGGCCACGCGATCGCGTGTTCGTTAAACATAAACATTGATAGTGCACATGTGTTTAGCGTCATTTTGTAACATTTTGCTAATACAACACGATCACCTTCCTTCCGCATTCTTCGCATAACGTCGATCCAGGAGGTACGTGGGATCTCCTGAATATTTTTTTTTCTGCGGAGCTTTTAATAAGGCGTATATAATACCAGATTGTAGTCGTGAGTGTGAATTTGTTGATCCATTTGCGCCCGCAACTCACCAGTACTTGTCCTTCACCCGGGTAGTTCAGCGCTTGAGCCTTGTTGCTCTCGCTTTCTTGGTCAGTCAGAGGCCGCACTCTGGAAAGACACCGTGACAAGACATGGGGCAGATTCAGTTGGGCGTCCGCAATTGCTTTGCGGATGCAGCCTACAGTAGGAAGTGGCTGGCAGGCTGCATCCGTAAAGCTGCTGAGGACGCCCAACTAAATTATCAACTGAGCGATAAACAACGAAGCCTATTATGAAATCTTGAAATGAGCTGTGCTAATTATTATTCCATAACTCCAGGTTCGCATAGAGTCTGCAGCAAAGTCGGAACGTGAGCTGGAGGAGTGGCCTTCTATAGGCACCGCGCAGTGCAGTTTCTGGATGCGAAGCAGCTCTTTGACTAGTCTGTGTTACGCTGTCCCTCCACCCGCACTTCACTACCCTGCCGCAGGTGTTGGGGCGGTGCGAAGCAGCTTTCGCCGTCCCTCAATGAGCGCACTCGTTTACGTCAGTCGCTCCCTAGCCTGTCGCCATGTGCCATATCTCTCGCTTCACCCTCTCTACCACTCGCAACTTTCGATCGCTTCACCTTTTCCACCACTCTCAATGCTCAAGCCCACCCCCACCGTGGCTATCATCTCTTTCCATCTGTCGGCGAAAAGAAGCAGCGAGCCGGCACCCACCAGCTCACGGGGTTTACTCCAGTGAATGCTACACCGAGTCTCGTTTCAAATCGTTCTTCCAGCCCCTGCGTCGACGTCCGTTTCAACCACGTCAACGCCGTGCGCACCGCTGTTGCTTCGCATCCCATCGGGGCTCCCTTCGGGGAGATGGTCCACATTTTTTAGATGCGAAGTAGCTGTTTTAAAAGCAGCCGTGAACGGCGGGTGCGCGTACTGCGCGCGCCTCGAGAATCTCGCAGCGCCGACAATGTAGACAGCGCGCCGCTGCTCGCCCCGTGATCGCGCCGACAGGTGGGACGCCGTCGCGGCATGCTTCCGCTAGCGTGCGCGTACGTTTCCCACTGTACACTTCGACGTGACCCGATGCGCGTGCACGCCGGCGTTCGTTTGATTGCGTCACGCTGGCAATGTCACACCAGGCACCGATACCCCCTATTAGAGACCAGTGGTTCTGTCCACTAACCTCCACTGTGGATCTGCCTGCCATATACTCGCAGGGGCGTTCTGCGTTGCTTTGACGCATGCTCGTTTGAGCGCACACGGTGTCCCTCCGTCACGAAGAGAGACAGACGCGGTGTGGTCTACGTAACGTCGTCGGTGCGAAATGCAGCATGTCGCGTATCACGCCGGTTGCCACTGCGCCGCGCCAACAGATGCTGGTCGCGCCTGTCACGTTTCGCTAGCGTGGCGTCGCTGTGCCCAGTCTGCGCGCGCGTCCACCTTGCGTCGGAGTATATTGAGCCCTTCAGGAAGCGCTCGCCGCGGTTTCCCTAGCTCCACATGTACCAAATTTCGTATCACGGGAAGTGAATAGATGGCAAAGGTAAAAGACACATCTAAACCTGATAACCGTGAGATGCGTTTCGTGGAAAGCATGACTACATGTCCAAAAGTTAATTCGAGCGCGAAAACTTGACAGGATCACTCACACACGCACACACCCATGTATCAAACACACAGCGCTCACTTCCAACTGATTTATTCATAGCTCGAAGGCTTGAATATATACAGGACACATTGTGCGCACACACACCAAAGAAGGCCAACAGCATACATTATCAAAACGTACAGTTAATCAATGTCATAGCCTTAGAGCTATAAACTGAAGTTCGCTTGGTAACAATGAAATTGAAGGGGCACTTACACAGTGATCTTTATTTTTTTCAATGAAAAAGGCCTCTAACACTTCACGTGCAGTTTTACTTGCGCTTCTGCCCAGAATCTTCGTCTCAGAAAATCGTGCGTCACAACCACACGAGATGACATGCGCAACCAAGTGCGCATACTTGTCATCTCTTTTCGTTAATTTTTGGGCGTGTTCCCTTAATCGGTCATTAATACACCGTTCGGTTTGGCCAATGTTCACTTTTCCGCAGGATAAGGGTATGGTGTACACAACCCCCATGGAACACTTAACAAAGGCCCTCTCATGTTTCTTCTGACAGCCGCGCTTCTTTCTATCGCACACACTTTGGCACAGTCTTCCAATTTTTTCTGGTGCGGAAAACACCATCGGTACGCCGTGCCTGGCCGCGACTTCTTAAGGCTGAGCGAGACCTTATGGATATATGGTACAACTTGTGGCCTAATACTTAAGGGCTGGGTAGCAGTCATCGCTTCCCGTGTTCCACGTTTAAACTTCTGCAGAAGTGATTCAGCAACGGCCGTAATGACCGATCAAGGGAACCCAGCAGCCTCTAGTCGGCTCACCTGATTAAGGAAACTAAGTTTCATGCTGTGTGAGCACGACTTTTTTAGCGCTGATTCTAAGCAAAGAGACGCAACGCCCCTCTTCACAATCTTTGAGTGGGCAGAATCGTACGGCAACAGCTGCTTCTCAACACGAGGATGATAAGGTCAGCAAAGATGCTCATCGTTCCACGTGAGGCTTAAGTCTAAAAACTGCAGACAAGCTTCTTGAGGCAATTCAACAGTAAAGGAAAGCTCTCGTCCTAGTTTTATAAAAACGTTTAAAATAAAATCAGGGGATGTAAGGTCACCCTGTTTATTTAAAAGAATTAAAAAATCGTCAACGTACCTAAAAACCTTTAAAACCTCCCCCCCCCCCCCCTTTAAAAGCATTGCCCAAGTCCCTATCTACATCCGCAAAATAAATATCGCAAAGAACCGGAGCGACACAGGAACCAATGCAGATTCCTTGCCGCTGAAGAAAGGGCTTTTCGTCAAACATAATAAAAGTTGCATTAGGATTAAATTCTAAAAGCGATAAAAAATTGTCTACATTAACGCCCCCGTCATTGATAAAATCGATGTCACCATTCTCTTCTATGCAGGATTTTACAGAGGCTAGAAGCTTGTCATGCGGCATGGAATAATACAGATCTACAACGTCCACTGAAAAGGCATTGCCTGTGGTAACGCGAGACCGCAAAAAGTCGCACACATCCATAGTAGAGTACCCTGTGCTCTAAATCGTTACCACGTTTTTCTAACCCCCCCATCACTTGAGCCCTTTGTACGGAAAGGGTCATTCACCTCAAGATTCTTTAGCTTGCTCTGAAGAAATCTGCTAACGTTAATCTGCCAAGACCCTCCTTCACTAACAATAGTGCGAAAAGGTGGATCCGGTTTGTGTGTCTTAGCCGAGAAAAAAACGCTCAGGTTGCTCCCTTTGCTGTTCTTTATGTCCTTAGCTAACAATGTAAGCCCAGCATTCTTGCAAAAATCAGCGAACTTGGACCTAACGCGATTCGCTTCCAACTTAACTGGGCGGAAGTTGTTCTTGATAGCCGCTAAAGCCTTTTCTTTGTAAGCTCCCTCAGGCATGACCACAAAGCAACTTTCTTTGTCGGCTAGCATTAACGTTAATTTGTGGTTTTTAAAGAACGACACGATGTTATTCAAGCCTTTAACTTTAGGTCTATCTTGATTCTGCGGTGCACATTTCGATAAACAGTTCATACCATCTTGTAGGCATCTGTCCCGGTCTTGGTTGGCCTTCACAGACAAATCCCTGTTTAGTCCGACAAGTTCATGGGCAGAAATGCGAGGCGGGACGGTAAACTTTGGTCCCTTCAGAAGCCATCTCTCGATTTCTGCCGGAATGTATGCGTCCTGTAGCACCACAACACGCTTTTGTTCTTCCCTTCTTTACTTGTCAAACACCTTGAGCAGTGGGTTCAGGACCTACTTCCACCTCCCTTCTGTGAGAGCGCCCAGTCGCTGCCTCAGCCATCGAAGGTGTTGAGCAGCCTGCCATTGCGGAAGAAGACTGTAGTGGACCACGCGTACCCAGTTAAGTTGGGAGCGACTCGCGTTAGGTCTAAGCTCGCTGATTTTCGCGACATTTCTGGGCTTACATTGTTAGCTAAGGACATAAATAACAGCAAAGAGAGCAACCTGAACGTTTTTTTCTCGGCCAAGACACACAAACCGGATGTACCTTTTCGCACTATTGTTAGTGAAGGAGGGTCTTGGCAGATTAGCGTTAGCATATTTCTTCAGAGCAAGCTAAAGAATCTTGTGGTGAATGACCCTTTCCGTACAAAGGGCTCAAGTGATGTGTGCGACTTTTTGCGGTCTCGCGTTACCACAGGCAACGCCTTCTCAGTGGACGTTGTAGATCTGTATTATTCCATGCCGCATGTCAAGCTTCTAGCCTCTGTAAAATCCTGCATAGAAGAGAATGGTGACGTCGATTTTATCAATGACGCGGGCGTTAATGCAGACAATTTTTTATCGCTTTTAGAATTTTATCCTAATGCAACTTTTATTATGTTTGACGAAAAGCCCTTTCTTCAGCGGCAAGGAATCTGCATTGGTTCCTGTGTCGCACCGGTCCTTTGCGATATTTTTTTAGCGGATGTAGATAGGGACTTGAACAATGCTTTGAAAGGGGGGGGGGGGAGGTTTTAAAGGTTTTTAGGTACGTTGACGATTTTTTAATTCTTTTAAATAAACAGGGTGACCTTACATCCCCTGATTTTATTTTAAACGTTTTTATAAAACTAGGACGAGAGCTTTCCTTTACTGTTGAATTGCCTCAAGAAGCTTGTCTGCAGTTTTTAGACTTAAGCCTCACGTGGAACGATGAGCATCTTTGCTGACCTTATCATCCTCGTGTTGAGAAGCAGCTGTTGCCGTACGATTCTGCCCACTCAAAGATTGTGAAGAGGGGCGTTGCGTCTCTTTGCTTAGAATCAGCGCTAAAAAAGTCGTGCTCACACAGCATGAAACTTAGTTTCCTTAATCAGGTGAGCCGACTAGAGGCTGCTGGGTTCCCTTGATCGGTCATTACGGCCGTTGCTGAATCACTTCTGCAGAAGTTTAAACGTGGAACACGGGAAGCGATGACTGCTACCCAGCCCTTAAGTATTAGGCCACAAGTTGTACCATATATCCATAAGGTCTCGCACAACCTTAAGAAAGTCGCGGCCAGGCACGGCG